CCCAGCTACTTGGGAGGCTGAGGCAAGAGAATCACTGAAGCCCAAGAGTTAGAGGTTGCTATGAGCTGTGAGGCTACAGCACTCTACCCAGGGTGACAGCTTGAGACTCTGTCTCAAAAAAAAGAGAAGAGAACTGCTTAAGTCCAAGAGTTGGAGTTTGCTGTGAGCTGTGACGCCATGGCACTATACCAGGGGCAACATAGTAAGGCTGTCTCAAAAAAGAAAAAAAAGTCTTCTCCAAGATTTCTTTGGTTTTATTCTATTTGGGGGAACTTAGCAACCAGGTAAGATATCACAGAGAGAGGGAAGAACATCTAAATTCAGAACTGAAACCTTAGCTTCAGGATACAACGCTTCCCCTTAGTGTGGAACAGGCACTCTGAGGTTCGGATCCACCCTATTGCATCCCACTTCTTCCATTCCACTCCCTTCTCCTTTACTGTATTGCACTCCACTCTTTGTGCCTGGTCCATTTTGCTCAACCTCTGAGCTTCACCCATGCTGTCCTGTGTAGTTATAATCATTACTAGTCATTCTGTGTCATTTTTGATTATGCAAATGAACCCCAATTTATTTATCTATTCTGCTGTTACAAATAGCACTGCTAGGAACAATCTAATGCATGACTTTGTAAACATCTGTATGCATTTCTAGTGGGTGTACAGAGCATACTTATGATGGCATTATATCCCAATAGACCCATCACGCATTGAAAATATCGTAAGTTGAAAATGCATTTCTTTTCTTTTCTTTCTTTTTTTTTTTTTTAAGACAGAGTCTCACTCTCTCACCCTGGTAGAGCGCTGTGGCATCATCCTAGCTCACAGCAACCTCAAACTCTTGGGCTTAAAAGCTTTTCTTGCCTCAGCCTCCCAAGTTGCTGGGACTACAGGCATCTGCCACAATGCTTGTCTAGTTTTCTTATTTTTAGTAGACACAGGCTCTCACTCTTGCTCAGGCTGATTTCTAACTCCTGAGCACAAGCAGTCTACCCGCCTCAGCCTCCTAGAGTGCTAGGATTGCAGGCATGAGCTACCATGCCCAGCTTTTTTTTTTTTTTGGTTTGTTTTTGAGTGAAAGTATATTTAGTATACCTAACCTACTGAACGTCCCAGTTTAGCCCAGCCTACCTTAAATGTGCTCAGAACACTTACAGTAGCCTTCCATTGGGCAAAATCATCTAAGCACATGTGTAATAAGGTATTGAATATCTCATATAATTTATTGACCACTATACTGAAAGTGAAAAACAAAAGCATATACCATTATAAAGTTGAAAAATCAGAAGTTGAACCATCATGAGTTGGGAGGTCCATCTGTATAGCGAGAGGTGAGCCAGTAGTTTTGATTTTTTTTGACTGGGGCTGGGTTTGAACCTGCCACCTCTGGCATATGGGGCCAGCGCCCTACTCCTTTGAACCACAGGTGCCCCCCCCCCAGCCAGTAGTTTTGTATGTACCCTCCCATCACTATATATGAGAGTTGGAGGTTGCTGTGAGCTGTGACGCCATGGCACTCTAACCAGGGGGATAGCTTGAGGCTCTGTCAAAAAAAAAAGAAAGAAATGTTTGCCTACTTTAAGGCACAGTGTTGTTCTGTTTTTCTCTAGGAGCTTTGTTGTTTTGTTTTTTATATTTCGATCTGTAGTTCATTGAGAATTTATTTTTGTGTATGGTGTAAGGTAGAGATCAAGGTAATCTTTTCCTTTCCAAATAGATATCCAGTGGACCCAGAATGCTATTAAAAAGACCATTCTCCCTTCTACCTACCGTATGGCAATGTTATAATCTTAAATCAGGTGAACCAATGTTGGATTTTTAAAAACACAGATAATTGATCTGGTCACATCTTGGCTTAACTCCTCCCATGGTTTCATCCTCACTTTGCTGGATCTGAGCCTGTCGTTATCTTTCTGTCATATCTTGCCATTCATTCTTGCTTCACTCCAGCTCCTGCTGTTCCTCTAGCACACCAAGATATGAAAAAACCATGTGGTGGCTTAAATAAATAGGAGTATAATTTTCTACTATAACAAGAGATTTGGATGAAGGTAGTTGCTACTTTTAATTGGGCAGCACTATTATTTATGGGAGTCTCTTAGCTTTTCCTTCATGGTTACAAGATGGCTGCTGTAGCCCCAGCTATCACTCCTTGCATTCAAAGCCAAATGAAGGGAAAAGGGTGGTGCCAATTCCTTTTAGAAGGAAGAGAAAAGTTTTCCCAGAAATCCTTGGGAGATGTATTGAGATTTCACTGACCAGAGAACTGCATGAGAGGCTACCCAAGCTTCAGGGAGGCTGAGAAAGTTCTTGGCTTGCACATTAATGCCCAGAACCAAACTGGAGATCTGTGAGGTAAGAAGGAAGGAATGTAAACTGGTCTGCATATGGTGCCCTTAGATAATCAGAACATGACTGACCTGGACAAAGATGCTAGTTGATAGGAGGGGCCTCCATTGAGAGAGGATGAGGGAAATGTGAGAGGATACTGATCTTGTCAGTGGTTGTTAGATCATTAGGGTAATAATTTTTTCTGACACTCTCACTTCCCTGGAGCTGAGTGTGGGGATTTAAATAACAAAGACTTCCTGTGTGGGTACTTTTTTTGCATGTGTGGCAGGAGTTCTTAACAGCAGAGTCTTAGAAGTGGCTTTGAGAGGTTATCAAATGTGCACATCTGAGGTGGTGAGAAATCTGCAAAGTTGCTCTCCAAAAGGACAGCACTAAGTTGTACCCACACCCCAGGAAGTAAAAGGGCTTGCCTCAAACACACTAAGCAACTCTGACAGTTGCCAATCTCCTAGGTAAAAACAAAGGCTTTCTAAATTTAAATCTCTCCCTCCTTTCCTTTTGAGGGAGGTTGAATATCTTTTCAGGTGGTTTTAACTATTTTTTCCTCTTCTGTGAACTGCCTGTTCTTTTGTTTTACCTACTTTTCTTTTGGGAATTATTAATGCTTAGGTACTGTTTGTATACAGGGTGTCAATAAAGTTCATATGCAATTTAAAATAGTTGTCTAGTTCTCTATTTTAAATTGTACACGAACTTTATGGGCACCCTGTATTATGGTTATTTACACTTCATAATTTGTTTTTGTTATTAGAAATGGGGTCTACCTTGTTGCCCAGGCTGTGCTTAAACTCCTGGCCTCAAGGCTCCCTCCAGGAGCTAAGACTGCAGGCATGCATCACCATGCTTGGCTGTCTCTGAGGTTTTTGATCTTCTAACTCAGATTCCCTGCCCTCCTCGTTCCCCCCCCCACACACACACAGAGTCTTAAGCTGTCACCCTGCGTAGAGTACTGTGGCATCATAGCTCACAGCAACCTCTAACTCTTGGGCTCAAGCAATCCTCTTGCCTTACTTTTTCTATGTTTAGTAGAGATGGAGTCTCAATTTTGCTCAGGCTGGTCACACTGTATATATTTAGAGTTTTTTTGTGTTTTTTTTTTTTTTTGAG